GTCACCCTTTCATTTTTATATCTTCATCTGTATTATAAGGATAAAATTCAGACCCCATAATTGCATTACTCAGAAAAATTACAAGTGAGTAATGTATAATTATTATGTGATATATAATTATTCATTACATAATATTTAGTTTTGTATAATATATATGTTAATTAAATATAAAATAGTTTATCTTTTTATTTGACGAGAGAAAAATTATGATTACCCTTCCCTATTTACTGCAGCAGCGTTAGAGTACATGTGCAAGGAAACTTGGATACTTAATCAGATGTGTGAGTTGAGTAGGGGGAGTGAGGGGAACTTTCAGGCAAGATGGAAAAAGTAACAGAGGCTTTATGTTTACAGCCCACATAACACTACTTTCCTGAGAATAGACGAAAACGGTAAGTCAGTAAAATTCAGTGGGCTAATTAGAGGTGTCGTACGCACAAAGGAAAAATGTTTCGTTAGGTACACATGTCCTAAACGCTTAATCACTGCTCTCCGGATACCCTTCAATGCCATCTTTATCACTAACTGGTTTCTTGCTGGATTTGTGAGTGCCCTATCCCCTCTGCTGGTTTCCCTCTCTGTGGGTATGCCTTGACCACAGGGCAGGATGCGTTTATCGGGCTCCTCTCCGGACAGTGTCACCCAGCTCTCCTTACAACAGTCTGCTTCTTCACAGCAACCTCAATGACTGTTCTAATGATCAAGCCTCCTTTGGCACTGCAGAAGGCTTCCCTATGTTTTGTCCCACGAAATATTAAGTATTCAGAAGCTTAGCATTCTATTCCGAAAACATTTTCTTCAGCCGGCTGCTGGGAGGCAGCTATCTCTGATTCCCCTCAGTTTTCTTCAGAGATTCTTCCTCCTCAGTCTGTGAACCTAGGAGGGCCTGGGGATCCAGCTGCCATGCTCCTCTTCTCTGCTCATTTCAAGAAGGGCTACAGAGAAGGAGCGCTCACCCATCCAGGGCTCTAAGTCCTGTGTGTATGCTGGTCGTGTCAAATCCACAGCTGCCTCACAGATTTCTCTCAAACCACCATTCACATCCATGACCACGGGATACCTCCCCTTAGATGTTTCATACACAACTTACACCTGATATCTTCTAAACCAGACTCTTGTTCCACCTGCTACATCTCTCCCCACGCATCTTCCTTCTGTAAACAACATACCATCCTTCCATGGATTCAGGGGAAAAGTCCTTGGGGCCACCCTCTGCAGAGTGTTGATCAGAAATTCTTCTTAACTTCCAAGTGTATGTTGCTTTTAATATTTTACCATTTGCTTCTTTTACCACCATGGTCCAAGTCATCACTCTCCTCCAAATTATTATAACAGATCCATGGCAATCTTGTTCTAAAGAAATCCGTTCAGCAGAGTTTATTACAGTGTTTAAGTTACTTGACTATGAAACTCTACTTTTATTCCTAACATATATTTTGTCAAAAATAGAGTATATTTTGGAAAACACAGCTGTAAAAATTGCTGTTTTGTTAGAACAACCTTTTTTTAATCCTCACCCGAGGACATTTTTTTCAATATTTTGTTCAGATAGAGTGGGAGGGAGAGAGAGAGAAACATCGATGTGAAAGGGACCCATCGAGTGGTTGCCACCAACACAACCCAACCAGGGCCGGAGACAAACTGCAACCGAGGTACATGCCCTCAGCGGAACCTAACCCGGGTCTCTCTGGACCACAGGCCGACGCTCTAATCCCTGTGCCAAACCAGCGAGGGCACAACCCCCCCTTTTTTTTTACTTCCCCCTAAGTAATTTCTCTTTCTCATTTCTTCAGTATAACTAAATTTTGTTCTAATTGCCCACTTCTTGCCATATTTCAGCAGGTCACAAATCAGATATAACCTTGTACAGAAGTGCCACATTAGTTGCCACAGACATGTATCAGTCTGAGACCCAAGTACTTCCCTTGGTTAGCTCATCCATGAACATTCACGATGATGTTATGAACATGACTGAATTTGAGTCTGTTTACATTTGGCTCATATGACTGCCATTGCCAGCCATCCTGAGCTCTAAATATTACTTTAATTTTAATAATATTTGTTGTCTCCACCATAAACTTCAAATGGCATCATAGCATTCTAAAAGAAGAAAGGAAGAATAAACACATTGTCATTTATTTTTCCAATGAAAGGCAACAGGAACGTATTTATAACCCCAAATAAATTCCTCAAGCAGATGAAACAAGTGACATATTCTGCCCTGCCTCACATCTTATCTTATGGTCCCTTACTGTTCATTGAAGCAATGGCGATTGTGACCACTTACCTACATGTTTATCTGTCTAATCAGATCATTTTCTCCCTGAAATACAGTGATCATAAGTTATTAATGGCCATGACCTTGTTGCATAGCCATGTGACCACCTATAGTCACTCAATGACATGCTACTGAAGCAAACTCTCAGGTTAATCTGTACTCTGAGATCCACATGTAAGAATTTACAAAGACATAAAAACAGTGTAAAAGAGAAAGATTTTATATGTGTAATAAAAAAATAACTTGCCTGCCATCAACTTGATGCATTTTAACTTCAAGGTTAGAGAAAAAAATTTCAATTTCAATGTGTTTAAATGAAACATTACTATTCTTTTAAAAATTACTACCTAACATTTAAATGTGAACTATGTTATTGATGGATTTTTAAAAAATTAATTACAGACATATTTATAAATTAGTCCATGATTTGGGAGACTCATTTAGAAAGGAGATTTGATCAAAGAATCTAATTCTGTAACTGATTGATTGGGAGAAATAGATTAAGATTAAGGAGATGATTTACAATAATTTCATGACCAAGATTAAGAAAGTTTCTCTTATTTATAAGAAATCAGAATGACTATTTACAGAACAATACAATATAGCCAAGTAATTTGACACTAGTGTTATATTTTCCTTCCTGTGGTTTTTAAAATAGAAATTAGAGTGTAATTGAACTGAATGACATTTTAAATGTTTTCTAGTTCAGTGATTCCTTGATATGACAGTATTTCTTTTCACTCAGCTTAGAACCAGAGGGACTGCCTTAGAAGTCTAGTCATTGATGGTTATAATTCTGAGTCTGAGAGGTCAATGGTTCATAAAAGAGTCTCTGTGTAGTCTGGCACAGTTCTGAATATTTGGCAGGATTTATTCAAAACAGATCCAGGATGGGAAGAGCAGAGACGTTGCTGGCAGAGACACAGAGAGATGCTTGCCTTCTCTGTTTTTGGCTCTAGCTGGTGCTATTTAGCCATCATTTTATGGAAACATGACCATAAAGCTAAGCCATGTCTTTTTAAATAGAGAAAAAGAAGATAAGCTAAAAATAGGCCATCATTTCATTGCGCTCCAGTCATGCAGTCTTACCTGGTGTGCATTCGTTGTTGTCTGGCCGACTCCCCTGAAGTGGATGGTGCAGTTTTCCTGCTCTGTCCTTCCTTGTACAGATATCACTCAGACTGTGATGTTTTATTCAATTCCAAGTGCTGTGGACCAAAAACCTGCCTTTTAGCACGCAATGAATCTCTATGGACGTTCCCTGTGGAATGCTTTACACATGTCAACATAAAGTGAAAGAGAAAGAAATTTTATTCCTTTAAAAATTTTAAAGCATTATGTTCAATTTGTCTTCTTCAAACTAATTTAGTTCTGATACATTATCAAATAGAAAGGTTTATTTTTCAAAACATCCCTTAGGACCTATGTGCTCAATGAACAGTATTCAATAAAATCTAAATTTGATTTCATTGGGGGAAAAAAAACACACAACTTTTGATAGGACTTTAAGAATAAAACCATCACATTTTACACCTAAATATGTTGAATAAATAATAATGCATCCCACCTCTAGTAACTAATATATTTTTTGGAAATGAAGTTTGCTAGTCACATGAAATAATCTTAGTAGATTTAGAAGTAATATTTAATACTGTTTGTTTGTAATCTCTTTCAATGCTTGCATCAATTCTTACCAAGGGGAGCCAATAAATATAAAACTAAAAATATTTATAAGCAATTATGTTGCAAATACAGCATTTAAGAATTAATTTTTTAATCCTAAATATGCCTAATGATTAACAACTTTTCAATTAATGCAGTGGGAGATAAAAATCCAGTGTCTTACTATATACGCCACAATCTGCCATCTTAAATAACCACTAATTAATATGTCATGTGCATCTTCTAAGACATTTCTTTGTTCAGATAACTATACTTAAAAATAGATTTTTACTTTTCTCTATAAAAGTGATATCAACTAATTCTGTATAATTAAAAGAGGTTTAATTGTGTTTATATTTTAAAACTTGACTCTTGCCCAGACAGTGTGGCTCAATAGTTGAGCGTCAACTCATGCACCAAGAGGTCACCAGTTTGATTCCCAGTCAGGGCACATGCCCAGGTTGTGGGCCTGATCCCCTGTGGGGGGCATGCAGGAGGCGGCCAGTCAGTGTTCTCTCTCATCGATGTTTCTATCTCACTTTCCCTTTCCCTTTCTTTCCTTCTAAAAATCAATAAAGGCAAAAATTTTTTTTTTTAAATGTTGATTCTTTCCAAGGTTGTCCTTGTTTATTTTTTATATCATTACAAAGTATTTCAGCTAGAGGAATGGAATCCTAGATCATGAAGAACAAGTTTCTGCAACTTTCTGGATTCTGCCAATTTCTATTGAATGGGTTGTAATGGTTTATTTTTCAAATGAGTAAAAATAACAATCCCGCTTTCTCTTACATTCTGGATCATTCAGGTAATTGTCCATTCTTGTTGTTTTTGCTTTTTCCAATTCTCTGGATTAGAAACACTATCTCATTGATATTTTAATTGGTCTTTCTTTTAGGTGACTTGTCTAATTTTCATTTTGCTTGCCCCAAATCTCTACTTGAGTGTCTGAAGACATTTCAATACTAAAATGCCCAAAACTGAGCTGCTGCTATTTATTTCCAGAACTGCTCTTCTTCCTGGTTTCTCTATCTGAGTCGGTATTTTCTTTTGTGTTTGCCAGGGCCAAACTCTTGGAATCATCTTTCACACACGACACACTTTCTCAACAAGGACTGGCATCACTGCTGAGGAAGTATATCCAGTATGGATGTGACTCGCCCACCTCTGTCGCTGTCACTGCCTGTCACTGCCTGCCACAGCCATCACCTGCCCTGCCTGGACACGACATGTCTCCTTCCCTGGTCGTCCTCTGCACGTGCCCTTGGTGGCATATTCTCAAAGGTGAATAATGCCATTCACTATTAAAACCTCTTCCCATGCTAGTGTTAAGAAGTGAATCTTTACTTGGGTCTATAAGATTATGTAAGATTTGATGTGCTTTCCATTCTCTCTCCTCATTCCCTGTGTTCCTTTCCCAGTTCACTCAGACCTTCTAGCTGCCGGGCAGAAGCGAGAACAAGTTAGATGCCCTGCTTCAGGCCTCCTCCCTGTCTGCCCAGGCCTCTCTTTTTGGAATACTCTCCTCAGTCATCCTCATACTTTCTTCATTTCTTATATATATTTTTTCTTTCCTCATGCATTATAGTCAACGTGAGACCTTACCTGTCCATTGTACTTGAAAGGGCAAAATACCCCTTTGATATCTTCCTGGGTTCAAATTTTTATTCTTGAAGTGAATCTTTAATTTTCTGTCTCTTTGTGGCAAACTCATTTTTTGTTCATCTCAATTCTTTTTTACCTGTTTTCTGATCATAACAGTATTTTAACTGTTCCTTTTATTTTTATTTTTTCAGTGAAAAATTGGATGGGTATAGGACAAATCCTGTATGAATGGGAGACAATGTGGGGGAGTGGAAAGAGCATAGGACTCTCATTTTTCTTCAAGATTTTAAGTACTTTAACATAATTATTTTATAGATTCTGTTTAATAATGACATTATCTGAGGTTCTTGATAAATTCTGTCTTGCTATTATTAGTATCCGATGACTCTCACAATATACACTGTATCAGAAATCCAGTTTTTTCTTCACTAAGATTGTCACATCTCTTTGGCACCAGGTTTTTTTAAACTTCCTTGATTTTTCTTCACTTTTTTGTTTTGATTTTCAGGAAGCTTTGCTTTTTTAGATCAACTGAACATTTGTGTTTTGTTAATCCTCAACTGAGGATATTTTTCCATTGATTTTTAGATAGAGTGGAAAGGAGAAAGGGAAAGAGAAAGACAGAAACATCGGTGTGAGAGATTACACATTGATTAGTTGTCTCCTGCACAACCCCAACTGGGAAGGGGGATTGAACCTGCTACCCAGGTATGGGCCCTCAACCAGAATCAAACCTGAGACCCTTCGGTTCATGGGCCAATGCCACCGAGTAAAAGTATTTCATTTTGACATGGAAGTTTTTTGACATAAAAATATTTTTTACTTTAGATGGGCTTTCACAACTTCTGAGAATAGTTGCTCGACTTGTTTGTTTGGTTTTGTTTTTAATGTATTTTTATTGATTTTTTTAGATAGAGAAGAAGGGAGAGGAGTGAGAGGTAGAAACATCAATGAGAAAGAAACACCGATTGGCTACCTGCTGCACGGTCCATACTGGGGATCAAGCCCACAACCTGGGCATGTGCCCTGACTGGGAATCAAACCAGCAACCTCTCGGTCTATGGGATGATGCTTAATCCACTGAGTCACACCAGGTGGGCACAACTTGTTTTTTTTCTTAACTTCTCAATAATTCTTGATATAGCTCCATTTCAATACATATAATTCTACTAATTCTTTTTTAAAATTATACTTTTTTTTTTTTTTACTGTACTTCATTCCACTATATCCACCACTCATTCAGTCTTCTATTTTTCCCTCTACCATGAAGATTGTTTCAGTAAATGCCATCAGATATCTTTACGGACTGGGATTTCTATGTCTCTAAAAATGACATTTCTGGATTACAGGAAATTGGCATTTTAAAGTTAACATACTAAGTAATTAAATGTATATTATTTGTTAGTGTTCTGTTGGCTTCAGGTTTAACATTCTATATCATAACTGCTTCCTTCCAGAAATAGTATATCAGTACAGTCATAGATGCAGATACAGGAAAGCATATTATGGATTACAGAGCTTGCTGATCAGCCCTGCTGTTTTGTAGGAAAAATAAAATAAGAAGTAAAGAAACAGGGGTGAGAAAATCTACTTCAGCAAGCTTAGAGTAGAGGTTTATAAAATCTTGGATTTGTTGATTAATTCTTAGATACAGCACAAAAGCATGAAAAAAACAATGTTGAATAGGCAAATGGGACTTTATAAAAATGAAAAACATATGTGCATCAAACAACAGACACTACAGTCTACAAAAGGGGAGGACAATATTTATAATCATCTATCTGATAGGGAGGGGTCAAGTATTCAGAATATATGAAAAACACAACTCAATAACAAAACAAATACAATTTTTAAATGTGCAAAGGACTGAATAGACATTTCTCCAAAGAAGATATACAAGTGCCAACAAGCATATGAAAAAAAAAACCTTAGTCATTAAAAATGCAAATGAAGCAGTATCTCCCAATGAGATACTACTTGAAAGGCTATGATAATAATTTTAAATGGATAATAACACATATTGATAAGAATGTGGAGAAATCAAAACTTGTGTCCATTTCTGGTGCAAATGTATGATGGTGTAGTTACTGTGAATCAGGCTGGTGGTTCTTTAAAAAGCTAAACATAGAATAAACCTATGACCCAGACATTCTACACTTAGGTACATATACCTGAGAGAATTGAAATCAGGTATTCAAACAATTAGTTGTACACAGATGACATTAGCAACACTATTCAAATATTCCAAAAGTGGAATGAACCCACATCTCTGCCATTGGGGAAATAGATAAAGAAAATGTGGTATATCTATAAAATGGAATATAAATTCAGCCATAAAGAGAAATCAATTACCTACATATGTTACAATTTAGACGAAACTTGAAAACATTTTACCAAGTGAAAAAAGGCAGCCACAAAAAGACATATATTCTATGACTGGATTTTTAAGACCTAAATAAATGATGAGATATCATATTCACAAATTAGAGGACTAAGTCATCTTAAGATGTAAATCCTACAGAGATTGATCTATAGATTCAATAAGATTTCACTCAGATTGCCAGCAGACTTTTTGGTAGAAATTCTCAAACTGATTCTAAAATTAATGTAGTAAAGCAAAGAACACACATTAGCCGAAACAACTTTGAAAATTAAAAACCAAAACCGGCAACTAGTATTACCTGCTACAAGAATTATTATAAAGCTAAATAGCTTAACAGTTTAATGTTGATACAAAGATAAATGAATAAAACATGGAACAGAATTCAATATGAGCAACTGATATATAAGCAAAGGTTTATAGGCACTTCAGTGGAGAAAGAAAAGTCTCTTAAATTTATAAAAAATTATCTTCATTGTTGTAGGTATTACAGATTTTCTTCTTATTAAAATTTGTTGCTCGGCTGGTGTGGCTTAGCTGTTGAGCATCGACCCATGCACCAGGGGGTCACCAGTTCGATTCTAGGTCAGGACTCATGTCTAGGTTGTGGGCCCAATCCCCAGTGGGAGCATGCAGGAGGCAGCCAATCGATGTTCTCTCTCATTGATGTTTCTATCTCTCTCTCCCTCTCTTTATAAAAGTAATAAAGAAAAAAAAATTAATTTGCTGAAATAATTGGTTTATGCAAATTGTTTGTATAAGGGAAAAAAATTATTTTTGATCTATGCTTGGCACCATATTCAACATACAATTCAAAATGAATTTTAGACCTAAATGGAAATCCTAAAATTATAATTAAAAAAGCATATATCTATATAAAAACTTTATATAAATGTTCATAGCTAAAAACTAATAACAGTCCCATGTCTATCAATAAGTGAATGGGTAAATGAACTGTTATATATGCACATAATGAAATACTGGACAGTAATAAAAATAATTAACTATTTATTTATTTAATTTATTTTTAATTTTTTTCTTTATTGATTTTAGAGAGAGAGGAAAGGAGAGGGAGAGAGAGAGAGAAACATCGATGAGAAAGAACATCGATTGGCCATGTCCTGCATGCTCCCCACTGGGGATTGGGCCCACAACCAGGATTAGAACCAGCAACCCCTTGGTACATGGGTCAGTGCTCAACTACTGAGCCACACTGGCCAGCTGAAAAATAATGAACTATTTAAACACAAACTACAACATGGACCTATGTCAAGTAGTTATGCTGATTAAAAGAAGCAAGAGAAAAGAATGCAAATTGTATAATTCTATTTAAATAAATTTTTAGAAAATGTAAAATAATCTATAGCGACAGAAAAAAATCAGAAGCTGCCTGGGGATGGGATAGGAGAACATTGTAGGGAAGGAGGGATAGAGGAATTATTAAGGTTCATGAGGGAATTTGGGGTGATGCATTGTCTTGATTGCAGAGATATTTCCATGGGTATGTACACATGTCAGTACTTATCAAATTTAGATTTTAAATATATGGAATTTATGTAAAACATATCTCCATACACTCTTGCAATTGGAACAAATTTGATTTTTGGAACATATCAGTCTTTGAACTTTAGATGTTTGAATGTGAAAAAGATAAAGTTATCATTATAGAGTGGGGAATGACACATGAAAATGCTTGAGTGTTGCTTACCAAATTGGGTCTAATAAGGCAAATTCTGCTTTAATATATAGCACATTTTAAAAGTTCATTTGTTAGAAAGAATGCAGGTATCAGATGTGCTTTTATATAGTATAGATTGATAAATCTAGATAGAGTTCATAAAGGATGGATGAGTTAGTGAGTGGTTGGATGGATACATACATAAAATAGATAAATCAATAGTTGAATGTAGGAATTGGGAAATAATTATAAATAGCTAGATAAATGAATTAGTAAATGCACATGTTAGTCTAATCTTGAAGCTTACATTTTTGAGGTGTTTACATAATACCATTAAACCAAATGCTTTTTCAAATTCCATTGCCATGCCAATAGTTAGAATCACCATGTGGATGGACTCTTAAGCACAGAGTAGTCTCATTTGCAACTGATAACCCACAGAGAAATAAAAATGTGATTAAGCTAAGCATGTACAACACTGTTCTGTTTTTATCTTTCTACACATTACCTTTCCTGCAAAAAATTTTTTTTTCAAATGATACTATTACTTTAATAGCTTCCATTTGCATTCTGAATTTTCATTGTCCTAGTTATCCAATTCCACTTACATGATGAAATTTGTGAACCTCATGGCTATTTTAATGTGATGCCTTTTATAATGTAATTGACAGAAGTCTCCAATGAATAAAATAAATGGTTACAGAGGGTTCTTCAACCCTCAACAGACATCAGCTGAAATGTTAAGAGTGCTTCCAAATCCCACAGGTGCTATATTTTCTAACCATGAAAGAAATGTCGTTATTGTAAATTCTCAGCTTTTGTCTGAAAATCTTGTATTAGATCCCCTGAGTGCCAATTCTATTAATTAATTCAAACAATTTCCTCTCTAATCTCTAAAACATTTTCATATTTAAGACAATAAATGAGGTACTTAAGGGGCTTACTCATTGTTGGTCATTAATATGCCATAGAATTAGAAAAATTGCCCCGTCTTCCAGAACATGAGTAACGTCTCTTTTTTTGCTTCCAGTGATTGTGACCTGGACAAGGTTAAAAGCACAGTTTCTCTGTAAACTGAATTTAAGAAAATCCTATTTTCCACTTGCTTTTGTTAATACATATAAGCAAATATTCTTCCTTTACCTTCAGCAATAAATTTGACATGTAGCTTGACAGGTTATGCTAATTTAAAGATTAAATTAGTTAATAATAACTTTAAAATTAGTGATTAGTTTAGAAAATTAATAGTTGCATTTTCCTTGAACCAGTACATAAGGTTAATGCAGCTGGCAATGTGATGTCTCCAATAACTTTGACACTAATTGGCGATTGTGTTACATGTTAAGATCAGAAGTCAGCGCAAATGAATTCTCATGAGGTTTGTAGGAAGACAAAGTTGTTTGTTCACAAACCTACTTTTCTCCATTTGAACGATTGGTTTAATTTAATGAAAGGTTGGTTTATGACCTTCAGGATAAAATTTCATAGCATTTCATGCCATTGATGCTGGATTATCAAATTGAAACAAAGCACACAAAAAACAACTTTTCTGTGAAGCAAAATCAGTCATCCATTTGTCAATATATGAATCTAATTGTTCATTTTTCTAAATTGACTATCTCTGAGGGAGATAAATGTGAGATGGGAGGAAAACTAGGCTTATAATTGTTCACAATTCTTTGTGTTTACATGGGCCTTACCCCCAAAGACTTATTTTTTTATTTTATTTTTTTTATCCTCACCCGAGGACATTTTTCCATTTTTTTTTTTTTGTTCAGGTAGAGTGGGAGGGAGAGAAAAGAACAGAGAGAGAGAGAGAGAAACATCGACGTGAAAGGGACACATCGAGTGGCTGCCACCCACACAACCAACCAGGGCCGGGGACAAACTGCAACCG